TAAAAAACAGACATGATGTAAGAGGATTGTTTTACTTACAAAGCAAACAAAAGGAGTGATGTACTTCCAGCAGTACATCATGAACGGCAATGGACGATAGCCAATCATATCTGTGATGTTGTCATAAAAACGATCCGCACCTACAGTATGAATTAGTTCAGATAACGATTAGAAAATGCTTTAATCATCACAAAAAAAAAAAGATAAATGTTTCTTTCCATTATTGGTAGCTGTTTTATACGTTTATCAAAATCAAGACAACAAAACAGGAAAATAAATCCAGGCGTCCACGACTCACCATAAACCCACCCAATGCTGATAGACTGACAGAAACAGAGGAGCAGCAGCGTGGTGCCACTGCAGACATGGTGGTCCAATAACTGGAGCAGGTAAATCCCACCCTACAAAGGAGGACAGAGGTGGATAGATTTGCTAGGCTTTTGGTTAAATGCTTAAGCAATAACAGTCTAATATAAATTAAAACATGCTGTAGATAGCGCTGTAATGTTTTGCACCATTTCATAAGTTTTGTTTTAAATTACTTCAAAAGTATTTGACATAAATAAACAATATTGTTATATTGATTTAAAAAATATATATATATATGATTTAAAGCATGGAAAATTGTGACTAAACATGGCTACTTAAATGACTCAAACATGACAAGACGTGCGTGAGTTTTCTTTGACGGGAAAAGACTAGACAAAAATGATGATGGGTAGTTCTTTGGTGATTCAAAATCAATATGCGTTTAGCATAAAGATCAGAAATGCTGCACACCATCCTGTGTTTGCTTGGCTCTGCCCTCCACCACCTGAGAACAGCTGCAACTTATACTGTACCTAGATTTAATTGCTTTCTATTAACTTGTTGGCATGTAGGTGTTTTTGTTTGTAGATTGAGAAAAGACAACAACAAAAAAAATATGATTTTTTTGTTGATTAAAACTTTTGCATTGTAAGCATTTAACTATTATCTAACTTTTAAGCATTTCCAATGAGACTAAGACCCATTTTCACATTTAACCTGGCAACGCTGGGATGGATGTCCCCAATATCACCTGCAGGTGGCAGTCATCCAAGGGGTATCACTTAAACTAATCAAACTAACATTTAAAGAAAAATTTCAGCCAGAACTTATGACTGTCAAACACTTCATTAGCAATAACAAAGAAATGCTTAGGATTTAGTAGTTGTTACAGTTGTTAGTAGTAATTTATAAACTTGAAAATTGTTTTGCTTGTACTCCACAGTCTCGAAGAGCAACTGTTGTATTTCCATACATAACTGAGTCCCAGACAGTTCCTGACAGTTAGCGTACTATTTCACTCCATACCCAGAAAAAGAGGAATTATTTTCTTTCCAGGTCCAAACAGTTTCCTGCCATTATTAAACATTTGACCGCTTGCTAGATAAAATGCTTGATAGTGATGCTGCCAGTGATAATGTTGCAAATGTTAAAAAGATGTATAGTAGCAGGAGCCAGGACTGTTGTTAGGCAACGCATCACTATGAGCGTTTCACATAAATATGCAAAAGCATGCCTTACAAAGTAATGTAACGGCTGTATTTGACCTAGAGTGGTTTGATACTACATCTGTACCCGGTTAATTTCCAAGGAGGTTTTACCCAGTGAATAACCATAACCCTGGCCGAGTAAATGTCAGGATTAAGTTTTAAGTATGAAATGGGATTAAGACAATAACTAAAAGTACATGTTGTCAGAAACAAAGCCAAAGCGAGTATTTGCAAGTGTCACAAGGGATGAATGGTGTGCAAACTGTCACAGTAGCTTTTGATCGATGAAGACTAAGTTGAACCCAGGGGAGATTATATTTCTTTGTTGAGTGTGTTTGTCATGCTGTGATTGCAGTAATTGGATCTTTTCTCAATCTGTCAATTTTTTTTTGTTGTGCAATGGATGGTCTTTGGATATCAAAAATGAATAAATGTAACACATTGGATCCTGCAATGGCCAAAAAGTTCTTCAGGCATATAGTCTCTTTAAGTTTAGCCGATGGTGGAACTCAAGTCCACCAAACCGTTAACCCCATGAATACTAATCTCTTCTATTGTTTACTATCATTCACCACCTAGCTCTATGTAAAAGAGAAAAAAAAGAGTAAATCTAATTGTGCTTGCAAAAGAGAAAAAAAAGCAAAAATGTGGAGTGTTTTTTCGGTGTACAAACCTCAGTGACAAGTAAGAGTCCGAACATGCAGGAGAAACAACAAATCATGAGCAGAAGCAGCTGCCGCCTGTAGCCTTGATTCAGGTATATTGGAAAATGATCAACCAGTGATGTCATCACACACTCTATACCAACAAACTGAAATGAAATGATCAGGGGAAAACCATTAGTTTGTTCGTTCATGCATTGGTTCTTTCATCCTTTCATTCACTTATATGCTGATTATTACCTGGCTATCTAGTCCAAGCAGAATGATCATGAGGAAGAAACACACTGACCACACCTGAGGCATTGGCATCATGGCCACAGCACGTGGGTAGACAATAAATGCCAAACCCGGGCCTACAATATAGAAAACAACATTAAAAAGATTTATAAATATCAACATACAAAATAAAAACTGCTTTAAAGTTCTTCTTAAAAACCTAAAGCTGCTAAGGGGTTTAAAAGCTAAGCTTAAACAAAGACCAGATTATTCAATATTAATTCACCAAATAATTTTTTTTCACAAATGTATGTAGTACGAGATGATGAGTTTATTTTAATATCATGTGTAGGCTTAATAGAGAGCTCTGAGTGAATATTAAGCAAAAAGACAACGCAAAAGTTATCCATAATCTTTAAAACTTGGAATATTATGCTAACTATAAACTTTTTTTCAGTTCTTGCCTGATTCTGCCACTTCAGAAATATCCACGCCTTGTTCGTATGTCATAAAGCCCAAAACAGAGAAAATGGCAAAGCCGGCGACAATGCTGGTGCAGCTGTTCAGCAGACACAAGTGGAAACAGTCCCTGTTAAGAGAGAGAATAACATTTTTCATATCAGATATTTATAAAACAATTAAAAGCATAATTTTAGCATATTGGAACATGAGAGTTATTTATGTTAACATATCTATTTGTTATTTAGTATAGTAGTTCAGGATGGTAGTTAAGCCATATAGTTTGCATCCTTTCAACAGAGCGTGTCTGACCATTACCACTTAAAAGCAACCCCATCAGCAGTTCACTGCTTTTTATATTTTTTAATGAATATCAAAACCTTCTGAACTTTCCAGGCGAGTAATTTTAATGGGTGCTCCAAGCTTAGAGATGCTGATGTGATTGATCCGTCATCATTCTTTGATTCTTGCAAAACAGACCCAAACATAATACCTGAAACCTTTTTGCTCACAGCAAATCCATCTTCTGCTGTTCATCATTGTAACAGTATTTATGAGTAACTAAGAAAGTCCAAGAAGGTGGAATTATTGTGGGATATGTTTTTTAATACTTTAACAGGTAGAGACGAGGTTTTGGACATTGTCTCTACGCAAAACTGGCTTAAGTCTGGTCCTTAAACTGTCATGACCTGCTGGGTTTTTTCATTTTCGGTTTTCTGTTTGGCTTTTGTTTATGTTATTTTGTGTTTATTGTTAAAAATTATAGTTAGTTCCAGTCCATTTTACAAAGTGTATCAACTAATGCATTCAAAAAGAATGTGGAATATGCAGAGCTTTCTCTAGTTTTGCCTGCTTTCGCTTGCCCTGAATTTAGCCTGGCCAGCAAAGGCAATTTTCATGGTAGGTGAAAGGCTCCACTTCGACAGAGAGTCTACTGGTTGTTAGGTTCACCTTAACATGGTAGAAATAAATGTACTTAGCAAATCGTAGTACTTTTTTTTACTTTTGAAAGCTAAGGAAAGCTTTTGACGTTCCTGGATTCATCAGATTCCCAGAGATGGAACCAGTAGGGAGAATGTCACTGCCTCCTCCAGAAGCTATGTCTGGGTGACCTTTGAGGCCCCCAAATGTACAGCTACATTCGAAGAGAAATAAGTGAATAATAATCTGGGTTGATATAGGAAAAACTTTAAATTCCAGCCATACTCATAGTTGTAATTATACTCTTCGTCTTCAGCTTTATCCAGGACCAGGCTACGGGAGCAGAATCTGCTGTCAAGCTCACTCCCCAATGGAAGGTATGTTAGCCGGGTTGAGGGGAATCCTAAAAGTATTCCTTCCACTGTCCAATGCTGTACATTTTCAGGGTCTTCTTCTGCTTTACAACATCAAGTTCAGGGATTGCTACTGTGATGGAAACAGCAGACTTACGTACGGCCACAGCTATGGGTGTTTTTTCAAGTCACCGAGCCCCTCGCTCTCCAATGTTCTTACCACCAGTACCTCATGGTTCACCCTGTAGGTGCTTCGCCCACTGGGGGATGAGCTCAAGTTACTCCTTCGAACTTGGCTTTGCCAGGTCCTGCAAGGAGGAGGCAGACCACCACTTGCAGACGCATCCCAACCCCAGGCCTGGTTTTGTTGTCATGAGGGCTTTTTGAACTGCTCTTTGTCTGACCCGTTACTTAGAGCCTGTTTGCCTTGGAAGACGCTAACAGGGGCATTTATGGACCCGACAACGTAGCCTCTGGGTTCACCTGAGCACTGAAACTCCTCCATTGCATTAAAGGGGCAGTTCAAGAAGAGGCCCAAACAAATGATTCCAGGTCTATATACGGTTTTAAACTGTGACTTTATCCAATACATCTCTACTAAAATAAATGAATGTTTTGTAAATGAGTACATGTTCAGAGGGTGCTTAGAGAGATGTAATTCAGTTGTTATTTTACTTACTTGTAACAGTTGTTGTTGTAAGTGTTATAGCTTCCAAGAGAAGTGAGAAAACCAAAGCCGATGGCATAGGAGAAGAAGACCTGAGTTCCAGCATCCATCCACACCTGATAAATAGTGCAAAAAGATATGTGTGTGCCTACTTAAACATTTTGTCTTAACAGGTATAAGCATTGAATACATTTTCTTACCTGTGGATCTGAAAGACGGGAGATATCTGGGTAGAGATAATAAATTATCCCATCTAGAGCTCCTGGCAAAGTCACACCTCGCATCAGCAAAATGAACAGCATAACATAGGGGAATGTGGCTGTAAAGTATGCCGCCTAATATGAGAAAGAAAGAAAAGATGTTTTACGTTTTTTGAAGTATACAGATAAAAGAGAATGAAAATAATGTGGAAGCAGATGTCAAAAAACAAAAGTTAGACATATATATATAGAGGCAAATAAGGGATAAAGGCCACAACCTGCTTATTTGTTTCACAAAAAATTTAATAAAAATACTATGATATACTATATATTGCCAAATGTCATAAACTTGTCTTGCCCCTAAATATTATAGTAACAATAATAAGGAACAAAAGGAAATAAAATACAAAGGCCCTGATCTTCAGAGGGTTGGCTTGTTTTAAAACAGGTGCCAGTAGAACATGCATTCTTCTCATTTTAATGTGTTGGAACCAAATCGCAAGTTTTCACATTTGTGCAGCTATGTATGTAGATTAGGACCAAAACAATTTATCGGAGTATTCGTGATTTTTGAAATAATCATCAACTGATTTAGTAATCGATTAATTGTTAACTGGAGTATAGATACTAAAACATGCCTTTAGCTGAAAGAGCAACTCACTTAGAGCAGTAATTATACCAAGATTGTAAAAAATATTTAAACATTTAGCGTATATGATAAAAAAA